GCCTACTCGGATTGGAGTCGAGCATGCTCCACCCAGATCCTCCAAATTTCAGTAGGTGGGGGTCACACCCACCACCTGGCCCCCTGGCGCCGTGTAATCCCATCAACCACCAAGACTCAGAGACTATAAAATCCAGCTCCCGGACGAGAACAGTGCAGTCTTCTGTCCCCGCGCCTGGCTGTTCCTCGCCAGGGCCCTTTGGAGGGGAGCAGGTTGAGCTTTCCTCCCCGCCCCGACCAGGGCTCCAGGAGCCGAAGACCTCCAGGACCAGCCACCACCATGCTGAGACCACTCTCCACACACATGAAGGTACTGGCAGAGGGACAGAGCCACGCGGGTTCCGGGGCCGAGATCTCCCAGCCTACTCGGATTGGAGTCGAGCATCCTCCACCCAGATCCTCCAAATTCCAGTAGGCGGGGGTCACACCCACCACCTGGCCCCCTGGCGCCGTGTAATCCCATCAGCGGCCAAGACTCAGAGACTATAAAATCCAGCTCCCGGAACCGCGCTACCGAGCGACATCTTATCAGGACATCTTTTTATGACATCTTATTATCTCATTCCTACTTTGGACAAACTTGCAGGCTATCGAATGTAGCCTGCCCACAGCGCAGAGTCTGGCAAACTCCCCGTGGCGTACCAAATATGCCAAATACCAATAACAATGATGGGTCTCATTCTCCTAAATCACTTAATCACTTAACTTCCCGTTAGTCGTTGATTTGCTCGAGCGGGCGCCAGTAACGTCTCCATTTGTCCCTGTCACGTGCTAGTGTAGCCCAATGGCATCTGTTCGCTCCGGGAACATGAAGGGCCTCAAACCGATCGTTCATGATCTTGACGAAGAAGTCTGACCATCTGGTAGGTGGGCGGCCCCGCAGTCTCTTGACATCCCGTGGAATCCAATCAGTAACAGCTCTAGTCCAACGGTCGTCTTTAAATCTCATTACGTGACCAGCCCATCTGATTTTCGACACCTTGGCAAATGAGACAGCGTCCCTGATCCTTGATCGTCGACGGATGTCAGAACTCCGGATTCGTTCTCTCATTTGAGTGAAACGTGATATTCCAAGCATAGCTCTTTCTATTCTTCTTTGGGAGACCTGAATGGCGTTCTCATCTGGCTTGTGTAGGGCCCAGGTCTCTGAGGCATATGTTAATGCAGGAAGAACAGTGGAATCAAAGAGATGTGCCCGGAGCCGGAGGTTCTTTGTCCTCTTAGCTATTTCTTCGACATTCTTGAAGGCGTTCCAAGCTGCTCTCTTCCTCCTGCGCAGCTCGGGTGCCAGGTCATTTGTCATGACACTACTTCCACTACCCAGCCGTCGCCACACTCCAGGACGGCCACGCAACACATCATAAGACACTAAATACCCATCTTCTGGAATTGTCGTACCATATTTGATAGGGTTCAAATATGGTAACACCTACAAGGGTGATTAGAGGTCACCCCAAAAGCCTCTATCCCTCTCGGAAAGACTGGCAAGCTACCAGAGTATTCCGCCCGCATGGAAGAGCCTGGCAAGCTATCCGCTGTGTATTTGATATGCCAAAACCAGTAACTACAACTGGTCTCATTCACCTGACCCTGAAGGCTTCTCCTAAATAGCCTTGAATATAATCTCAGGGTTAGGATGAAAGAGACGTTACTGGGGCCTGCTCGAGGCAATCGACGAATAACAGGATGATGAAATGAAATGAATGAAAATGTATATAGCAGAGACAGAACTCTGCTTCTTTGATTACTGGTATAAATCTGGCTTATTTGCCACCACACCTGAGAATGGGACAGGTTCTTCCTAGGATATTTGGCCCTATAGAGTCATTAGTTTATTTGAATCTAATAGTACCCATCAACTAGAGTTGAAGTCTCTGTCTAGTAGAGTAGGGTTAGTGAAATTCTCTCCCAGGTCCATTCTTCAAGACTGCCATGACGTGGCCAGTACTTGAAACACAATCAAGTTCAAGGGAATTTGACTTTATTAGTGTCATTCTATTAAGTGGTGATATAACAAAATACTACAGACCAGATGATTTACCACATTAGCATTTGTTTCTTCATCTTTGGAAGTTGGTTATGAAATATTGGAACGCCAGATAGTGCCCTCTTTTGTACGTCAGAGCATATTTTAATTTGGCCGAAGACCAGTGACAGATTTGTCTGGATTCCCTTTTGTATCTAATCAACCCCAAACCCCCAATCTTCTTATAACTTCACTTTGAGATTTGGTATCAACTTACAAATATGGGAGGAACATAAATCTACTGACTATAGCAATTTACAACTATATAACTCCTACTACTCCCTCATATAGCCCAGACATCTTTTACTTAAGATTTGTTATTTGCATAGTTAAAAGTTAAATTTTTGGCATTGGAAGGAAATTGAATATTAACAAGATCTTAAGTGTTTACAACCATGTATATATTGCGTGTAGTATATTTTCAGACAATTGGAAAAGCCCTGAGAGCTTGTTTGGAGGTTCTAGCAGGGGAGCGCAGCTACTCATATACTCTCGACCAAAGACCAGTCTGTCTCTATTCAGGGAAGGCCGTCCTCTAAGACTAAGCACTCAGCTTCAGGAGGGATGTACCTAGAGTGGTGAGGGAGGAAGGGCACACATGCCTAGCCAGCCAGATCAACCGAATCAACTCTGGTGATCAATGGGGTAACAGATGTCGCAGCCAGATCGCCCTCACATCCATGGCACAGCTCCATAGCACAGCCGTAGGGCATTTGCCTTGCATGCTCTGGCCCTGCCAAGTCAGGTTCCATCCCTCCGCCCCTCTCAGAGAGCCCAGCAAGCTACGGAGAGTATCTCCCCTGCCTGGCAAAGCCTGGCAAGCTACCAGTGATGTATTCGATATGCAAAACACAGTGACAAGTCTCACAATGGAGATGTTACTGGGCATACTCAAGCAAATCAATTAGCAATGGGAGGACAGTGCAGTGCAGTGCAGTGCAGTGCAGTTGGAAAGCCTTTGTCACTAGGGCACAGCACTGACAGCAAACCCTCTGAGGCTAACCATCTTATCAAAACATAGTGAAGCACACTCACTCATGCCAGGATTGTTTGTTTTTCAAAAAAAAAATCGTTTTCTACTACTGTACTTTAAGATAACTGATTTGATTTTCAGCTTCTTCCACTTTGCTCTTGACTGTTGTGACTGTAATTTTTTAGTTCAGCTACTGTGTGACTCTATAATTTCTCAATGGATTTTTCTTGGACTTTCTTTCGTACTTTTAAATTGTTGACATTTTCTTCTGTTGCCATCTTAATTTCACTGAGCACTGTAAGGACTATTACTTAGAAATTTTCCTCATGTAGGTCTTATAACTCTATTGTAGCAGACCTAGACTGTTGGCTGGGATTTGTCATTTCACCATTTTGTGGAGACCTTGCTAGACTTGTCTAGCAAGGTTTCAAGTAAGTTTTTGTGTATCTTCTCAATGAAAATAGAACATCAGCTTATGGTCTCAGGTTGGAAAGATTTAGATTAAATAAGCAGAATTCATGAAATAAAAGAGTAAAGTGTTATTAAAGTGTTACTAGCAATGCTTAAAATTTAAAATAAATTTGGTCTTCAAGAGACATCATAATAGGCAGAATAAACTCAGTGGGAGATAGTATATTGATTTTAGACTCCTCCCACAACAAAATAAAAGCAAAGACATATACCAGGAAATCTATAGAAAGGTTATTTGCAGCTCATAAAACTGATGAGAAGTATTAATTTTAAAATTTATAAAAATTATCCACTAATTTTCAAAAGCAAACAATGAGATTTCATTATAAGCAAAATAACCACTAAGCATATCATAACACACATAATCCCACTGATGAGGAGAAATACAAATTAAAAAGTAACCAGATTTTACTGAAATGCAAAAATTAAAAATCTAACAACAGCAGGTGTCATGGAGAATGTTGAGGTATCTTAGTTTATGTGAAATGGATTTTTGTCTTGATGAACCTCAAAACCTGAATAGCTGAACAAATGGCAAAGAGGGGAAAATGCTATTTGATGCACAATATAAAATGCAACACTAGAGATTCACATAACTATTTTCAAAAAGAGCAAGAAATTCAGTAAAACTTTACATGATATTTCTAAGAAATACTTCGGAAGTCTATTCTTGAACATTAAAAAAATACTAGTATTTTTCTCTATCATCAGCTCTGTAGTTGGTACTTGTAAATTTACTATTATTATTTAAAATGTGGCTGCCTAGAATACAATTTGTAGGTATATTTCACAATCAATTTGTTTAAATGATGCAATTTTATTTCCGGGGCTGTTCTTACAAAATTGTACACACATCAGCACATTGTAGACTATGAATCAGGATTTCTTTGTTACTATGTAACTAGACAGGTATAGCTAACCTCCCAAAAGCTGACGTACGCTAAGGTTATCTGAAATTCCAAAAAGGAAAAAAAAAGAAACAAAAAGTCCTTAATCTTCAAACCTGCTTTATTCTCAATTGTTCCTATCACTCTCTGTAGTCTTATACAAATGTGGTTTGATACAGTTGCTAAATAAAACTGCCACCTTTGTCTATTGTATGCTTCCAAGTAAAGCTCCAGGAAATAAGTACATGAAATAATTCTTTAATTTTAAAAGTTTGAAAACCACGGTGTAGTTGAGTTAAAATCAAATTTTGAGTGACTCGCTTCAAAAAACGGAGGCCCGAGATTAGGGCAAACTTTTTCAGGGGAAACTTCAAAATAAAAACAAGTTTCTAAGAGAGGGGAGGGTGATTCTGGAAGTGAAAGCAGTTGGTTAATACCACACCTCTCTCTTCTGCCCCTTTTCTCCATTCTTTCCGGCTTCCCCGCAAGCATTCCCGGGTTCTCAGTGGTCCCTCCGGACGCTCCCAGACCGAGAAAACCGCTTGGGCAAATTTGAGTCCCGCCCTCTCGTCTAGCCCCGCCCCCGCCCCACAAGCCCCGCCCACAGAGCTTCCGGAACGCCCCGCGTTGGCCTTTTAAGGGGGCGGGGCTTCAAGTGGCCGCGGCCAGCGTTTCTCTCTCGGTCTCATGCCTCCGGGGTTCTAGCGTTATAGTTTCTCCTGGTGACCGGATTCCCAGAGCCCGGGTGAGTAACTGGACGGATTCGGGGCCCCTCAAACGCATCCTGGAAGGACAAGGGCTCACCCTGAGCGCCTGCGCACTCGCCCGCCAGCCAATCGGCTCGCGCTCGCCTGCCAACGGCCTTTGACCCTGCGCCCCTCGGGCTGATGCTTGGAGCTGTTTGTGCGGGGACTTTGTGCCGCTCGGATCTGTCACTAGACTCTACTTTTTCCTCTGGGCCAGCCCTAGTGCGTTCTGCGGTGCTGGATCCCGACCCCGCTTGCCTATCTGTGCCACTTTTTTGCAGTCGAACCACCGATCGCCGCGGTTTTTTTTTTTTTTTTTCGCCTTCCCGTCCCTAGCAAGTTGGGAATTCCAAGACTGTCTTCCCGCACGGAATTCTTTGGACCCCAAACTGCAGCTGGGCCCTGGCCTAGAGCCCAGGGGTAGACTCGGGAGGATCGTGGCCTCTTTTGGCGCGTTGTAAGCCTCAAGGTTGCTGGAGCCAGGTGGGGGAGAGCCCTAAGGATGCGAGGCCACCGCAGAGCGTGACTTGTCCGCTCAGCTTTGCCGGTGCATGGCCCTGCCCTGCCACACTTGTGTTTTGCAAAGTCTTAGTATTCCACTCTGCCTGGCTGGCATCTTTTCCCATTTTCCAAAAGATCAATAGAGGTTCAGGAAGTCAAGACAGGACTTTTTGTTGTTGTTTGTTTTTTTCTTGTTGCAGGACCCTAGGGGTTTAAATGTTAAGGGAATAGCAGTGCTATGAAAAATAAACAAGGGAAGATAATGCTGACTTATGTGAATAAAAAAGAGAAGTTTAAGAGTGAGTGTGTGGTTTTTGTTGAAGTGTTTTAGTGATGGGTTGAAAAGATACAAAATCACATTGTATGCAGAATTATTTTGATGGCAGTGGTTTTATTTATTTTTTTTATCTTGCCCTATAAACTCCGGAGTGAGTGTGTTTTGTGGCTTTGCCTGTAAAGTACTGTGCGTTTTGTGCTTTGCCTATAAAGTGCGTTTTGTGGCTTTGCCTATAAAGTACTGTGGGAGATTGGGCTGTTGGCCATGTGTTGGATCAGAAGGTAAATTGTCTTCAGATTACATTTGGGTTACAGTTTATGGTAAAGATCACTGGTCATTTTCTAAAACCATAATCAGTAAATCATAGCAGAGCCACATGGTAATATATAGTAATGGTGTTCTCTAAACTTTTTTTTTGTAATTAAGTTGTAGCTAGGTGGAATAGTATGAGAACAAAAATTAAATTTCTAGAACCATGCTTGGTTTGCTAGTTGTTTAATGTTAGCTTAATTTTCCACTGGATCCCTCAAAGACTTGAAAAGTTACCAACGTCTTTATACCACAGTCCTGTTACCTGTAAATGCTATTATAAAAGCTCTGCTTCTAGGCCATGACGATTAAAAATGAACTGAAGAGATTATACATAATCGTGTTTCTTTTACCCCCAGTTTCGTTTTCACCTCGCATTTACATTAACACTAACAAGCAAAGAAATTTTGGGACAGAAACTCATCTTGAAAGTTCCAGATGTGTCTTCTAATGTAAACTCTCTTTCCAGTTGTTTTTTAGAAAATGTATTTAGAAGAAAACAAGAATGAAAAAGAAAATGCATTGGAAGTCTGTATACTTTTAGAATATAAATATCATAAGTGGACTTTGTTTTTTTTTGTCATTTTCTTAGAAATAAGGTTGCAGAAAATATTTTTTGAAGCAGTAATAGATATTACATCTCAGACCTCAATTGACCTCAAAATCAAATCTATACAGATGTTCAAGGTATCAGGAATCTATAGTGTTATAAACCATGGTACCTCAATTAAAAAAAAACAAATTTATGTCATATATGTAGCTTCTGTTATTATATGTTATAGTATTGAAGGAGACAGATTTCTAATAGACACCATTTCTAATAGTTTGAGTATGTGCCAGCTTCGAAACAAAGATGTTTGCAGTTATTTTTTTTTTCCTGTTAGGTGACTTCTGAAACTTCTTTTATTAAATTCCCTTATCATATGAGGGGCTGAGAGCTAGTACAGCAGATAAGGAAATTGTCTTGCATGCTGCCAGCCCAGGTTCAATCCTTGTCACCCCATCTGGTCTCCTGATCCCCACCAGAACTGATCACCGAGCACAAAACCAGAAGCCTTGAGTGCTGCCTTGTATGGTTCCCAAACCAGAAGAAATAAAATCAAACAAGTAGTAGATTTGCTGTTACCTTGTGAGATTATTAGAACTGTTGGTTATATCAAAACTTGTATGATTCTGTTGGTATGATCATTTTTATTAATACAGATTTTTAAAAATTGTTGGCTCTTTTGTCACTTCTCTCTGTTTAATAGACTGATTATAAATAACTCAAGTAAATATACATATTAGTACCTTTTTAAAAAAATACTTAGTCATCATGAATTACAAGGATTTTTATAATTGGGTTAAGACATGTGATGTTCCACCATCAATCCTTTCACTAGTGTTCACTTCCCTCCTCCACCAAAATGCCTTTCATTATGCACCCCTCCCCATTTTCCTCCCTCTGTGAGAAGCACTTTTTCAGATATACATATATATGTGTATGAGACTGACACGCTACCTACTGCACTAACGAGGCACAATAGCACAGTGAGTAGGGCATTTGCCTTGCTCGCGGCTGACACAGCCAACCTGAGTTCGATTCCTCTGCCCCTCTCGGAGAGCCCTGCAAGCTACCAAGAGTATCTCGCTTGCACGGCAAAGCCTGGCAAGCTACCCATGTTGTATTTGATATGCATACACAGTAACAAGAAGTCTCACAATGGAGACGTTACTGGGCCCACTCGAGCAAATCGATGAACAACGGGAGGACAGTGACAGTGATATATGTGTATGTGTATATATATGTATATATATATACACACATATATATTTTAAAAAATTCTGGTTTCAGTACTGTACTGTTGCTGTATTATGTTTCTTTATATCCCACATATTATTCTGTGTGGTGTCTATCCCTCTGACTTCACTCAGCTTGACACCAGATTCATCCACATAGCAGCAAATTGAATCGTTTTATCTTTGCTTTTGGCTGAGTTATACTGTATTGTGTATATGTACCTTAGTTTTCTTTACCCAGTTATCTATTCTTGGACATTTTGCTTGTTTCCAGATTTTGGCTCTTGTGGATAGAGCTGTAAGGAACATGGGCTGCAAATATCTCTTCTCTATTGTTTTTGGGCCCCTGGAGTAGATTTCAAGAAGTGATATTGCTGGGTTAAATGAGAGCTTGATCTCTGGTGTTTTTTAGGAATCTCCAAATTGTTTTCTGAAAAGGCTGGACCAATGAACCTTCTCACCAGCAGTGAATGAGGGTCCCTTTTTCCCGCATCTGTACCAGTCAGCACTGGTTGTTCTTATTCTTTTTGAAGAGTACCAGTTTCTGTAGTGTGAGTTGGATATCTCACTGGTGTTTTGATTTCCATTTTCCTGATAATTAGTGATTCAGTGCATTTTTTTTTCATAAGCCTTTGACCATTTGTAGGTCTTCTTTGAAGAAATTTCTGTTCATCTCTTCTCTATTCTTTGATGGGGTTGAAGTTTCTTTTTAATATAGTTCTATCAGTGTTGTATATATCTGGTGTATTAGTCCTTTATCAGATGAGTGAGAGGCAAATAGTTCATCCTAGTCAGTTGGGTGTCATATTTTGTTCACCACTTCCTTTGAGGTACAGAAACTTCTAATTTAATGTAGTCATTTGTTTATCATGTTTCTGTTTCCTTGGTGAAGGGCTTTGACTGCTTTCAGATATCTCTGGCTTCAGTGTTCTGAAGAGCTCTGCCTATATTTTCCTCAACGTAACTTACAGAATCAGGTTTGATATTAAGGTCTAGAGAAAAAGAAAATGGGAGGCATTGCTCTTCCCAACGTTGAACTGTACTACAAATTGTAGTAATTAAAGGAGCCTAGAATAAGGACAAACTCCCATGTCAGTGAAATGGAATTGAAAACTGAGAGACAGATCATCAGATATATGGGCAGCCTCTTCAACAAATGGTGCTGGGAAAACTGGCCACATTTAAAAAAAAAACACAACAGCAAAAATCCACTCAGACTTCTTCTAACCATGCACAAAAGTCAAATCACAAAGGCATACTAGAATATTTTATAGACTTAAGATATATGCCAGTAGTGGAGTTGATGCCCAATTGAATAAGCTAATCAGTGGCTGAATAAATAGCAGTGCTCCTATGTAAAAAAAAAAAAAAAAAAAAAAAAAAAAAAAAAAGATATTCCAGTGTTGAAAATAAAGGAGCCAAAAATTAAATTGTTTAAAAAGTCTTTACTAATTGTGTGTTAGATGTATTACTAAACGTGAAGATTATGCTAATTTTTGAGCCTTAAGGAACAGCCTAGTAGAGGATTTACTTATGTAGATATCTCATGGTGCTCATGGTGTTGTACATAAATAAACCCATTTAAAAAGCGAATAGTGCTTTAGATTAGTATTTCTCAATTGGAACTATATGGTCTTCTGTGGACACTCCGGATATTTCAAAGGGGTCACAGATAAAAATCATGTAAATGGTGCACAGTAGCACTAGCCTAGAGGGTCAACTAGTCAGTGTGTTGTCCAGCTGACAGGGCTGACAGGGGGGCAGATAGCACAGGAAGGAAGCAATGTAAAGCCATTTTTGGAAAAAGATTAAGAAATACTGCTTAATTAGATAATGAAGAAGTACTTTTGCTCTTGCAATTATTAAGAAATCAATTAGAAGAAGCAACATTTGACTATGACTTGGAGGATACGTAGTACTTAAAAATTAGAAAACTATAGAGAACGAATTATGTTTTGTTTTCTCATTGCCTGTCAGACACTAATCTTTAATCACCACATCATAATAAATACTTTTTCATATTTATTTAGTGTTACACTAAACCAGAACTTGTTCTAGAAATTTTATAATCATTAAATTCTCAGACATCTTATTATCTCATTTTTGGTTTGGACAACCCGGCAGGCTACCGAA